CGTAAATCTAATATCATGTAATTCCGTCAATATACACTACTGAGAACGACTACTTAGAAGGAAACAAAACTTAAATTAGGATTTTTTTAGCCATGTCATGTCACCAATTGACCGAATTCAGAAATGCAAGTAACTGAAAATCAATTCAATCGTCTGCAATACGGTTATCTTTCTTTAGTCTTAAAAAATGTAGGTTCAGTGCCCTGTCCAGTACATACTTCTGAAAGATTTCATACTTAGGCGAAAAAGCTCTTCGATGCTTCCTGGTTATCAATCATTATCCAATTACAGTTAATCCATAATGTTAAAATTCTTTACAATAGCCTATGATGAGAAAATATTTTAATTGGGACCAATTGATTTTTAAATTGGAACATCTTACAAACACTTAATTATTAGCGGTAGGCATAAACAATTGTTTGCCTTTTATCTATTATATATAGAAATAATGTTGAAATTTAGAAAAGAATTCCGTCATAATATCATGTTACTTAGTTTCATGTCAAATTATCATTGTACTTTAATCAATAAATTCCTGTTATAAAAACATTTTATTGATTAAGTAATCAGATAAAATATGTAATCAAGATATGTATATTTAAGTAATGAATATCATTTAATTAATTAATAATACCATCATAATTGAAACTTTTGTTTGGAAATGTTGAACTTTAATAGGTAGATAGAAAATCAATATATCAGTAGTATCCAACCGAAAATTTATCATCTATAAACAATATGATACTGGACTCAATCACTGATGTAAAATGAGAGTTCAATAGTTACTTCTTATTAGAGTCAAACTCTGGGATCTAAAGTCCTATGCGTGAACGCTCATAATCCTTTAAAAAATAGCCATATAATGAGGTTGACAATGAAAAATGCAACAGGTTTCGTATTAGAACAAATGTTATACCACTTTAAAATGCGTTGACTCTGTTGGAATACAATTTGCATGGGGAAAATTACGACATTAGTTAACTAATAATCTAGATGAAAATAGACATTGAAGTGATAGAAGCTACCGGTTTGTTAGTTGATCAACACATACCCAAAAAATAGTAATATACCTACATAGATCATCATTTTAGCTTACATTATAGTTATATTTAAATCATCCCCATGAAACGATATTATTTCTGAGTGTGTATATCTCAGATCACTGATATTTTAATGAATTTTATATACTATTAGCTAATTGTTAGTAGTTCAAGTTAAAATAGGAAATTTAGGCGGCTGGTTCTTGTGTTAACTCGGTTTACTTGTTTATGTTACTCGAAATTTTAAGTAAATAATTTAAAACAGTTTTTCGACATTTTATTATCGGGATAAATTCATGCGAACATTTCCTGAAAGTGGACATGATTCAATTTGAAGACAATAATTAACGTCAATCCTATTTTAGTGTCAGAAGGGGCTTTTGTGGATAGTAACACACTGAACACAATGGTGGATGTGTTGCTCAATTTCGCGGATTAGTTGGAGTTAGACCTTGGTGTCGGTTGATATTTGTTTTGAGTTCCAGATGTTCATCAAATATATACTGCTCTTGTTTTGCTGATCCGCGCCTTTACATCCACATCAGATCCATCGTGTTCATCAATGATGCTGTCCAGATATGTAGAGGTTTTTACATCTTTCTAAGCTTCTCCGTCAAATGTGATTTTCCACCTATACTTAGGTGGAAAAATCAGATGACACTTTAAAAAAAAGCTAGACATCATTAATGCAATATGATAAGGAAACTGTCTGAATTTCAGTTCACATACAATTTGACATAGATATATATTTAGGCTAGTAAAATGCTGATTTTTTTACTATAGACATGTCATTGTTTCATTTAAACAGGTGTTTGTGCACATATGTATATATTCGTACACAGCTACACACACACTTACATACACACAGTTACACATTGTTTAACGGTTTAATCCCAAACAAGTGAACTATTCGTATTTAATCACAAATATGAAGTTAACTACAAATGAAGTATAGAAACTTTCATTTATTTTAGATATAGTACATGGATTAAAATAAGAACGAGATAAGCATCTAGGTTACACGAATTCCCAACAGTTTCATTGTTTACATTTGTTTAGGTAGATAAAATACATTGAAATTGAGCAGATTATCAAAAATCACTGACTAGAGTTTAGTTTTGCAAATTAAATCTAAAACGTAAAATGATGTTCACATAGATATGATAACCGGAATTACTATTTTCTAATTAGATCGAAACTGGTTATTCTCTGTGGATGATGTAAGTTCTGCATCTACAGAAAACATCAGTTCCTTCAAGATTACAGATTTGTCAACTTGTACGAAATGCAAGTCAAATATAGTATCTTGCCGATTGTCACCAATTATCTAGCTTCAAAAGCTATAGAAAAGGATTCATTTTTAATAGTTGAAATCATGAAAACCTGGAAGCACAAGAAAGCCGTTTCGTCCCATTGTGGGACCTCAGCAGTGAGGATCCACGATCCCGCCCCCCGAGAGATTCGAACCCAGGACCTATCATTCTTAGTAAACGGAATACACCCATTAAGACATTAAATAAGAGAGATTATTATCACTCTGTAAAAATAAGTATTTATATTTGCAATTGTACAGCTTTGAAAATGAATTCGCCGAAAAAAAGGACTCTTTTCGCTGAACTAATCTTTCTTATTTAAGATTCATTTTTAGTTGTTTTTTTTATTAATCTCTACTACTAACCATGTTTCAAGTACTATCATTTACATTCTATCAATTTAGTTGACTGAATTTAGACAAGTAGTAAATCAATAAACGAATTGATCAGTGATCCATATAGTTAGTCTCTTAAAAATTCAATCCAGATCATGTTTAAAAATAGTTTTTTTCGTCAGAGAAAAAGTTAATTACTGCTCAGTAATAAATTTCTATGAAAACCTCTCCCTTCTTGAATTGGTAAGCGACGACATTTCTAACTATGGCACTCAGTGACTTGGATTTTAGTTTAACAGGGAAAATCAAACCCTTGAAGATCCTAGATATTCTTAGATGACATATTAAAAACTATTAGAAGTGTAAATTTTCTTATATTACCCCCTTTAGCTTCATCACATGACAATGAAGGTCTAGAATATCCTATTCGATTTACGCCTATCAGATCAATGACCCATTCGTTCATGCAGTTCTTTCTATCCTCAGATGGAATTGTTTTCTATTCTGTTATCGTAAGCTTGATTTAAAAACTCACAGTATCGATCACATGACTACAACGTTCCACAAATAAGAAATTATAATACATGTGTAACAACCAGTTTATAATTGATATAACATTGAGGACTAGGTCCATAACCAATTGATATTGAGCTAAGAATGGTAGAGTATGTAATAACAGTTATTAAGTGGAATAGGATCAGCATAAAAATACCATTGTTCAAATACTGACTAAATTCACAATGAAATCGGATGTGATAATTTTACTTAGAGCAGTGTATGGAACACCTAAACTCGATTTCTAATCAGTTTTTATCAGTATAATTTGGAATAAAGTATTTTTTTTCCTATTCGTTCTATAGTCTCTATGAATGACTTGAGGAATGTGGGTAGATTCAATAGAAGTTAGTTGTTGTTAGGCGTTACCCTCCCACCTTGTCCTTTTTCTCCGTTTACATTCTACTCCCAACCGATATTTTTACATCTGTATCCTTTTTGATTACACTTTATGTGAATTTCTACATGTTATCTAATGATGTTATACACACTTACTAACCTTTGTCCAACTTCTGTGAGTCTTGATAAATACTGAAGCTATAAACAGTCAGTTTTTTAATTTAAAAAAAACTTTTTCTTCAATCATCGTGTTACTATGGTCAGTAAATAATTATTCATAACATATATGTATTGTTGATTGTCACTGTGGCAAGGAGAACAGTACAGGTTTTACGATTCTACAGCTTTGAGAATCAGTTCACTGAAAAAGAGAACTCTTTATTGAATCGGTCTATTTGATTTTTAATATCTCTGTTAGTCTATTCCGCCTATTTAAGATATTTTTTATTCACTTACCACTTTATCATAGATTAGACCGGTAATTCTTAAATCTTTCTAACCAAACACGGTGAAACTATAATTTATAGACGAACCAATCAGGTGCAAGGTAACAAGTCTCGGATTTCGGTGTGAAATCCATTCGTTCATTTGGCTAAATAGAGTTTTGTCATTATAGCTGATGTCGCTTCGTGATAAAAACCCTAAATCTAATTCCTAACCTTAGCAATAAACTGTAAATCATAATTCTAATTCCTCGTACTGGTTTATAATCATCATTTGCCTATGATTAACAGGTGGACACTCAAAGTCAGTTTAGCATCACTCGAAGGCCGTCCATAAATTAGAGTCTCACCCCAAACACTTAACATTAAGTATATCAGAAGGGATTTTTGTGGATATCATAGTAATTTCAATGTTTGAGATCATGAGTCAGTTGAAGCTAGACCATCATGGACTACCTGGAAGCACTGGACAGCCGTTTCGTCCAATTGTGGGACTCCTCAGCAGTGCGCATCCACCATCTCGCCTCTCGAGATTTCGACCCAGAAGCTTAAACACTAGACCACTGATCCTGTCGGCATCCAGCTGTGTTAATGTCTAACTTTAGTCAATCTACGAAACTCAGCGAGACATCCACCATTGTCTTCAGTAAGTTACTATCTTACAACAGACCCGGGTGAACTTCACTGGTTACTGCTTCTCACTAGAACTCCAGAAAATACCTCTTGAAGCCAGTCACTAGTGAGCATATATTGATTCAAATCAGAAGGGTTTTTCTGTGGATATTTTATAGTACTCTCAATGGTTGGGATCAAGAGTCAATTAGGACTCCTCAACAGTTGATATCCAATTGTGTTCATCAGGATTTCAAGATTTATCGATCTGTTTAGATTTATTACTATACAAACATACACAACGACTTGTAAAAAGAACTTTTTTTGGTATTTCATTATTTTGAATTATCTTTTTTTTTATAGGATAACTTATCACCATCTACTACAAGACAACTTCAACAAAATCAACATCAGTATGATTGTCAACAAATGGAACATTTTCATCAGTATCCATTGGTTGATTATAATCAATGTAAGTAAATGATTACAAATTAAAGTTATACTTGATGAACATCATTAATTTTATTGGTTTTTATCTTTTATCCATATAGGATTGTGGAACAATCTATCGATTTGTTATTTTTGTATTAAGCTTCTTAAAATTAATGAACATCTTATAAGTAACTGAAATTAAAAATATGCATGATTGAGTTCTAACTCAATGGTTTGAAGAGAAATCTATGTCTGCACAAAGATTGAAGGTCATAGATTAAACCAGTGATCTAGTTGAGAAATTCCATATTAAAACAAAACATTCATCTATGCCTCCTTGACATTATTCTGATAAATGCATCACGATGAGAGGAAGATTTATTTTTAAAAAAACACCAATATATACCTTTTAACGTCATGAATCTGTAAGGAGCTTGTAAGTTTGGCTAAATAGAGTGTCATATATAGATTTCACAATATGTTTAAAGATATTAATAAAGTCTAACATATTTCTCTAAGAAGAACATGTGTCATTTCTAATCAGTATCGGTATGATATATTGACGAAGAAACACATGAATTTTCTTTGACCATTATAGAGTCCATACTATTTTTAGTCGAATTGTAAATAAGATATGATTTTCTTTCTTCTCAATCAAACAGGACATTCATATCACTGAGTTAGCCCGTGATATATGTTTCACTATTCATAGTATGATTTTCTTTAAAATCCTAATTTTGTATGTTGACTAAACATTATTTCGTCGAAATTGGTTAACATATAATATCTAATATTTGTTAACATTCCAGGATCATTGATGACTCTAGTATAATATTGATGACTGTCGGTTAATTGGTTCAAACAATAAACTTCTTATCCCAATATATGACAGCAATGATTAGCTACCTGATTCATGTATTAATACATAGAGGTTTCACTAATCTACGTATTAAGACAATGGGGAATATTTACAGCTCAGGACGTACTCGTTTGAGATATGTTCTCAACCTAACGATTTAGTTTAGAGATCTCAACATATTTATATCCTTTATCACATTAGTGAGCATTTTTACTCAATTAGAATTTGATTGGTTAACTACTGAAACTCTTCTCTGATTGGTTGATCATGATTATACGAGTTCATTCCATTGGACAATTACATTTTGTATCAGAAGAGGTTTTGTGGATATTGCAGTATTTTAATGGTTGAATTCATGAGTCAGTTGAAGCTAGACCACCATGGAAAACCTGGAAGCACTGGACGGCCGTTTCGTCCCACTACAGGACTCCTCGGCAGTGCTCATCCACGATCCCACCTCGCGAGACCCGAACCCAGGACCTATCAGTCTCGCACGTGTGCACTTTACCACTAAACCACTCAGCCGGCACCCAACGGTCCAGGGTTCGAGTCCCGTAAGGCACTGTTGAGGAGTCCCGCAATAGGATGAGATGGCCGTCCGGTACTTCCACGTCTTCCATGGTTGTTTAGCTTCAATCGACTCATGATCTCAACTGTTGAAATTACTTTTGGTGCCTGACAGAACAAACTCCATGAATCAAATGAAACTACAATGAAATAACTTTCATTTTTAAACTGTTAGCATTTTGACATTTTGTTATCAAATTTAACTTTCACTCGATTTTTACATTGAGGTAATCAATAATTACTATTTACGTCAATAATCATCACTTCCGTTTATTTAGACAATTAAAACGCACATTACCCAAAACAATTTTGTCTGATTAATTTGCAATTTCCTATAAGTTCTAATTAATATCTGAGAGTGAAATTTCTGTGCATATCAAACTTTATTTAAACTAATATATACACATGTACTTGTATACATATTACTTACTTACTTACTTACTTGCTTACACCTGTTACTCTCAATGGAACATAGACCACCGACCAGCATTCGCCAACCCACTCTATCTTGGGCCTTCCTTTCTAGTTCATTCTTTTCATGTCTGCTTCTATTTCTCGGAGTAATGTGTCATTTGGTCTTCCTCTTCTTCGTTGGCCTTGAGAATTCCAAGTGAACTTGTATACATATATGTGCAATTTTTTTTCTTTTTTTCTGGATTTCAGTAGTTTTGGTGCGCACAAAATCAAACTGAACAAATTTTGTTATAAGTTATTGCCATTAAGTTATATCTAGATCGATAGTAAAAGTTTTCTGAAATGTACTATTATTATGTCTTTAATTTAGCTAAACGAATATTCTTAAATTGTAAGAAACGAGTTAGTTATCCATCACAAGTGATAGAATTGGCGTTACATTTACTGGCTGATTGGTTTACAAGTTAGAGATGGCAAACCCTGATTTCGATCCCCGATGGTGAATTGGTGGGTAGGCACTTCAAGAAAGTCCCACGCTAGGCCATGACAGGTATCGAGTAGTTTCAAGTTTTCAATGGTTATTTAACTTAAGTTGTTTCGTGGCTTAAACTATGGATAAATAATGATTTAAGAAGATAATTTAGGTTTAATTATTCACTGATTAACTTTCTTACAGAATCATTTCAAGATTTTCAGTAAATGACTTTTTCTTGGGGAGTAACACAGCTTATTTTTAAACTAATAATATCCATTCGCAATTTGCATTACTTTTCAATCATATCATATTATCTAAGCATACTTTGCCATGTTTGTCTACCTCAAACTTGCTAAATTGTTTAGATAATCATTTTACAATGTGTACTTCATTATTAAAAAGGACTATCAGTCAATAAAGTAAGCAAAGAGCAAAATATAAACAGCTTTGAGTGATCAATCAAATCGGAGCGAAGTTAAAATGGCATTACAGTTAGTTTATTGCTGAAAATCACGTCGTTGACTAGATTTCTTATTTTAAATACTCTTGATGATGTTATATTAGGGGACTTACGAGACACCAAATGTTAATGTGAAAAGGAATTTTGAGAGTTAAAATGTTAAGGTTTTGAGTGTTATGTTTAGAGTTAATTTTAGAGTTAGGAACAGGTTAGTTAGGTTGGTTCATTGTACAGACCAAAGCGCTTAAACTTAAGATCCTAGCCATAAACGTGGACAGTTTAGCTCTAATATTCTAATCATAGGGATGAAATTAAAATGGCATGAATTCTATTATAGATTACTGTGATTTTCACCTCTATGAATCCATAGTTTACCTCAAGAAGTTCATTGATCGTGTTTGTAATTTCATTATTATTTTGTGATATATAACATATTCACCATATCTGAATTCTAATTGAGGAATCTGACTCTTTTATTCATAATAATAATATCTTTATTATTCTGTTCATCGAAGCTCATAGAACCAGCACTATTATGATGCATTAAATCAGAGAATTTTGTTAATTGTGACATTTCCTACTATCATAACATGAATAGATGTTTCCCTTAATTGAATTGTTTCTTATTAGTATCAATGGTGAATAGAATATCAGTTGATAAAATAGCACAAATAGAAATGCTTAACTATATCTGTGTATCCCACACATTTCACGCCTGAAATACAGTGACATATACTCACTCATTTAGCTAGTTAATTTGTGACCAAGATATGAAGCGTGTGAAAAAGACCGAAATAAACTTTACAGTAAAACTATACTACACTGACGGCATAAAGTGATTCTAAGAGTAGGCATGGAATTGAAGAACTAGATATTAACCAATTACAACCGATATTTCATTACTAACATTAATGACTGATCTTAGTTAAACTACCATCAAAATACATGGGATGCTTCGGTAGCTCACATCTACAGGTCGATAGGAATCGCACCCAGGACCTGTAAGTGTTTAACCTTTGAATCATTGAGGAGGTATCTAGTACTTAACATGTTTAAATTCAACAATTATTAGTTAATTATCAGATAAATGAAGACTAAATTTTGAAGCAAAGATGGATAGTGACTAGCAGTGGAATTTAGGACGTTCGTTTCGTTCTATTTGAGACTCGTCAGCTGGATGTATCTGCATCCCAGAGTTGATGTTCACTCCGGGACTCGAACTCAGTAACACTCACTTAGCTACGGAGTCCTGACAGCCACTTGGTTGTGCAATGGGGTGAAGTTCTAAACATCAATGAGAAGATTCAAGTAAACAATACCAAGTGAATTTAAATACCGAAGGTCATAAACCAACCAATCGGTAATGGCTATTCACTATCCCTGTTTGTCCTCTCCATATGCATGTTTGTGTTGAATTTCAATAATTTTCGAAATCTATGTTTTTATGAAGTGAGTTACATTTACCTAATATTTTATTTGGATGATGTATTGAGAAAACTAAGATTGTCAGAACTACATGATATATTAGCGTAAAACTTTTCAAACACATATGCCTGTCCCAGAGTGAACATCAACTATGAGATGCATAGGACATAGGACGAAACGCGTGTCCTGGATTCCACTACTAGTCACTATCCATCTTTGCTTGTAATGCTTGTAAAGTAAGGCAATATCGAGGCAATACGCACAGTATGCACATATGCCAACATGAGACTGATCAATTTCAGTTCTAAACATCAATGGGAAGATACAAGTAAAACAATACCAAGTGAATCAAACTTGTTAAGAATATTTATTTATGAAATATAAAAGGTCAATACGACAAATGAAAGATGAGGTGTTTAACAAAGAGAAAGATAGATGTTTGTCATCTGCCACTAACAGCTGATTTAAGCTTTTGTTTTAACATAAGGTAATTTGATTAACCTGTGAATGATAGAATGATCTGATGTGACAGGTGATATAAATCTAATAGATCTCAACACACTGTGACCTTTCCACTGATTCATAAATTTTCAAAGGATTACCATTTTCTGTCAATGGTCTGTTTAGTAGGTTTATGTAATCTACAACAGTATCATTAGTACAAATACGGTCAATCCAAGATAGTCCATTAGTTAAAATTCATATTGAATTTATTTATTTTATTTATATAAACACATAAACATTGGTATAAGGAGGCACCAAATACATGTGCGCCACATAAACCATTCGATTTATGTGAGAGCTGGAATAGTACCCAGGTGCCCAGACCGAAGTAGGTGG